CCCTGTTTTGGGGGGGCTCCTGTGTGGTTAGATACAAGCACTGCGGGACGACCCGGTGCTTGCCAGACAGGGTGATAAGCACTGCACATCCATGAACTCCATCAATCATAATGCGGATGACAACGCCACTGTCCCTGTTTTAAAGGGCATCGGGAGGCACATAGGACCTCCAGGACTCGGCCAAGGTCACCCAGTGACATCAGAGTGGGGCTCGAAACCTGGAGATCAATTCTCTGCTCTAGCACCCTTCTAGCATAAATATCATGTGATTCTCTACAACCATGAGACAGACGCTTTGGAGATTGTGCCAAGGCCCAGATAAACACAGGTATCCCCCGCTTTTCAGACATTTGCTTTATGTCACCTCACTTTGACAAAAGACCTACACTGGTATCTGCTTTCACGGACCCAAAGAAATTTGAAGAGGGTTTTTGCTTTTCGGGGGGCGGGGGTGGGGGCAAAAAGCAAAACTAGCATTCGGGGTCTGTGCATCGCAGCGAGCTGTTACAAAGGCAGCGCACCCCCCACCCCCCCAGCAAGCGCGGCCCGCCAAGCTCCTTCCCCAGAAACTCCACTCAGCATCTCAGCATCAAGCAGCCATAGCCCTGAGCTGCGTCTGTGAGCATCTGTGTCTGATCTTGACTTGTTTTGTGCAGCCGTTAGCAAGATGTGCCCTAAGGTATCAGAGAAGCCTGAGAGAGGATATTTTTGGGGTCTGAGGACGCTCCAAAGTTTTTCCATAATACTGTGATCTGCTTCTTCCCTTTATGCCATTTCAGCTTCCGAAAGTTTGGAGCCTGTACCTGTGCCCTCTTTTCCTGGTATTTCGCGCTTTCTCTTTTTCCTGCCTCTCTCTTATCTCCCCGCACTTCCAACAATACCGTCTGCATTGGCTACCAGGCATGGAGGTGAACGGTGAACGTTTCTCTTTTCTCTGCTCACACCATCCCCACTGACGCTGCAAGGAAGAGACGGGCTGTGGTCCTAAAGCAGAAGTGATAACTGGGAGATACTCCTTACGACATCCTGCATCAGACTGCTTTGAGCCTCTGCCTGTGTCCAGGCTGGGATCCCACTCCTCTCCACCGCCCATCTCTCTCAATGAGGCAGGCGTTCCTTATGAAACAAACCCCTACCCGTTCTCCCCTCCAGCAGACGTCAGCTTGCCAACTGGGAATCATTAATATGTGGCTTGTGTTCGACCTCCGATGTTCCCAGCCCGACTTTCAAGAAAATGTGGTCTTCATACCATTCCCATCTACGGCCTTTCAGCCTCGTTGAACCAAGCATTTGGAAGGCTGCGCAGCAATGTGGTTGAGTAAGAACCCTGGAGCCCGACTGCCAGCTCTTCCATTAACTACCTCTGTAATCTTGGGGACGGTCACGTCCCTATGTCCTGATTTTTCTACCTGCTTTACTAGGATGACGGTGGTGGTGGTGGTGATGGTGGTGGTGGTGGTGGTGGTGGTGGTGGTGGTTGCGTCTCTCCTTACAGAATAGTTAGGAGGACTGAATGAGTTACAAGTGTTTAAAACAGTGCCTGACACTCAATAAACATTAGCTTAATTTTTCTCTACGTCCCACAGGAAATGCATCTTAAATTAAATTAATCTCTATTGCCTTCCACAGATACATTCCAGTGGAGAAGAGGAAAGGGGAGGAGTTCCTAATGACTATGCCATAGAAAAAGGCTTTCTAAGATTGCCATAAAAACAGAGGAGAAAAGAGCCGACAGCTTCATGGTCCTCTACCTGCGAGCTTTCGTTTACTGGGCAGGACGTGGTTGCTTGCAACTGTCCTTTGGGGACACAGGAAAGGTTTAGAAACTCAATTTTACAGACGAGAAGGGAAGCCATTTGTTATGGGTCGCTCACTAGTAAAGGGACAGGATAATGGTTTTCTTCCCGAGATCCAGAGTGCAACTCCGTACGCTGCCTCTTATTAAAACAAATGCATAAAAAACAAACAACCCAGAGTCCAGTTCAACACAAAGCCCTTCGGAGCTGGCGTGCAATTCACTCTTCCCTCTGCCTTTCAACTGCTCCAGCGTGTCCAAGTTTCCAGAACCATCCATAGGAGAAGGGCATCGGTTCGCCAGAGTTGGGGAACAGTAGCGACCCACTGAAAGTGACTTTGGTGAAGTCAGCCAAAGGGAGCTGCAGCACACACGGGAGAAGAATAACACTTTCCTTCTGAAGAGGGCAGCATGCAACCAAGGCCAGGTCTGCTCACGTGGTCAGGGCTTCCTTCCAGGTCTGGAAGGCCGGAGGCAGTGTAGCCCTCAGGAGCCCAGGCATCTTGGGTTTCCAGGAGCTTATTTCTGAAGGACAAACACATCTTCCGACATGAAATAGGATTCTTGAGGTTTGAGCACAGTTACACACTGCCTCTCATCAGAGGGTACACCGTGCAAGCCGATACTAAGGCGGTTATGCAAGATGGATGGAAGAAGCCCCAGCGAGTTCTCTTTCCGGGCTCTTGCACTTGTCTGTCCCCCCATCCCCCTTGCAATTGGCCTCCATGAAATTAAACAATAGTGTGGCCTCCCAGATGGTCTCTGATGTTTGCAGAAGAAAAGTGTTTCTTTTCTACTAAGAAGCCTGTGTGATGTAGTTTCTACTGCCTGAGGCAAAAATACCTTTTTCTCTCCTCCCCCCACCCTCCCCAGCATCCTTGCACAGAGATAAAGTGTTGGGAATGGGGATCTTAGCTCCTAGGTGCATTTATCAAGCCAATCACGGTAATTATAATTAGAAACACAAACTAAGTGAAAGCCGAGCATGAAATACATTTGCAGAAAACCTGAACTGCATATAATTAAGCCCTGCTTGGTGTCATTTTGAGGCATGCCATTTATATATTTGGGGAGTGGGGGAGATTTTTTTTTTTAATCTAAATACCTTTGCCAAGTGGCATCAAAGGCTTCTTCAATGGCAGTTAGGAGGAGGAAGAATGACACACAGCATTAGCTGCTAAACTGAGGGCTGTGAGACATACGTATGTCCCGAGGTAGCTTAACTGGTTATTTAAAACACTCTGTCCAATATGTTCATTGGATATTAATTTAACCTAGATCTGTCTTAGGGAAGTGAATAAGAGAGTTGAAGATTTGGGGGGTGGGGAGTAGCTTCAATTCCCAGCCTCAGCTTTGGGCATGCACTAACCCGACAGTGCTGAAAATCCTTCTGTGATTACCCAAAGCCCAGCAAAGAAAGTCCATTCTCCTTAGGGGGACCTTTGTTCAGGTGTCACCTCTTTGATAAAGGCCTTCAAATTTTCCCCTCCCCTAACCCCGGGCTCTCTCAGCCATCACGACACTTACCATGCTGGTTTTTGACTTTATTCACGTGGTCTTTCTCCCCTGGGAAACAGTGACCTCCTTGAAATCACCAATTCCCCCCCCCCTTTTTTTTAGCGATTTCCTTTATTTATTTATTTTGATTTTTTAAATAATAAATTCATTTTTTATTGGGGTTCAAATTTGCCAACATACAGAATAACACCCAGTGCTCATCCCGTCAAGTGCCCCCCCCCTCAGTGCTCCTTTTTTTAAAACCAGTGTCTCCAGCACCCAGGACAGGACCGAGGACCCAACAGGTGCTTGGAAACCACCGAATAAAGGAGCGACCGAATAAGTAAGTGGATGAAGGAGCGAATGCTCCATCTTTCCGGGGCCAGCTCAAACTACTCCGTTAGGTGATATCCAATCTCTCTTTCCCCAAGACAGAAGTTCGCACTGGTAATTCCACTCTGTTTTTAGGGACAATAAAGCCAGGAATAGTTTAGGAGAGTCCATTGATTGGAAGGGATGTGGCGGTGGGGGGGGGGGGGGAGGAACACCAACGGGCTCCTTGGAAAGCCACCTTGGAACAAAAGCACAGGACTTTCACTTGGATCACATCTGGGGGAGTGGGGTGGGAGAGGAGAGCTTTAGGCCACACCTTGCACTACCGTCCCCTGGTCCCCTGTCGTCTTGGGATGGGAAGGCACAGAGTGCTTGTCTCCCCGACTCCTTCATATACATTCCAAAGTAATTTTTTTTTTTTGCAGATTCGCATGAAGGTGAAAGAAGTAATACACAGACATCCCATGTTTCCCCCCGTGTTGACGGGGGCACAACCAGAACGCCGACAGCGATATGCAATCCACCCCCCGCCTTGCTGGGATCTCACCGGGTCTGCACGCACCCGCCCCGGACTGCGTGCGCTTGCATTTCTGGAAAGCCGCTTCCCCGCCTCCCCGGCGGTGGTGCAGCCTGACCTCCCCTTGCACGGGGGGTCGCCCCGGCGGGCGCCAGCACCCACAGGCTTGGGTGTGGGTCTGGCACACGGCAGGTGCCCACCGGCCGCCCCGCACAAACCCCTCGCACTTGTGCGCCTGGGCGTGCAGGAGGGGAGCGCCCCTTTGGAGGTTCCACGCCGAGCCTGGAGCGTTTAGCATTTCAGCGGCAAAAAAGTTGGCTTCCCCCCCCCCCACTCCCCACCCCCGTGCCGCGCCCCCCCCCACCCCCCACGATTGTGAATTAGCTTCTGGGCGGCTAATTGCTCCCAAGCGCTGCTGAGGCTGAGGCTCGGAGCGCAGCACGGGCGCGGGGAGGCGGGAGGGGCGCGCCCCGAGCTCCTCCCCCCACCCCCCCATCACTTTCGCCCCTTTCTTCCCCCGGGCTGGACTGTTTCACCCCGTCTCCAGGCAACCGCCAGGCGCGAGGCGGGACGTCATTTCCTGAAGAGCCCGCGGGGGGGGGGAGGGGGCGGCCGCGGGGGCGGGGCGGGGCGGGGCGGGGCGGGGGCGGGGCCAAGCCGGGGCCGAGGCGACGGCGGCGGCGGCGTCGGAACTCGCTGCAACACCGGCCCCGGGCAGCTCAACAGTTCGCGAAGTCCCGGCTCCGCCTGCGCCCCGGCGGCGCGGGGAGGGCGCGCGGGGAGGGCGCGCGGGGAGGGCGCGCGGGGGGGCGCGCGCGGGGGTCCCCGGGCCGCCGCAGCCCCGGACATGCCCCGCAGCCCCGGGCGGGCGGCTGCGGCGGCTGCAGCGGCTGCGGCTCGGGGGGCTCCGGCCAGGGCGCCGCGCACCCCGACTGGGGACCTCGGGGGCCCGCAGCCCGAGAGGAGCGGGCGGCCCGGCCGGGGGAGCCCCTGGCGCCGTGTCCCGACTCCCGCCGCCCCGGCGCCCTCCGCGATGTAGCTGCCGCCTCCCTCGGCGCCCCCCGGACTCCGGCCGCACCGTCTCCGCGACCTGCGGGCTCCAGCCGGGTCCCGGGTCCCGGGTCCCGGGCCTCCGCCTCCGCGTCCGCGTCCGCGTCCGCGTCGCCCGCGCTGCAGCCCCTCGGACTCCAGCAGGCGCTTCCCTCCGCCCTGCCCCGGGAGGCTGCCTCCGTCTCCCCGCGGAGCCTGCGCCCGTCCCGGCGCCCCCGCCCCCGCCCCCGCCCCGCTCCGCCCCGCGTGCGCCCGGGCCTCGGCGGGGACATGAAGGCGCAGCTGGACGGCCTGTCGGGGAGCTCGTCCTGCAGCGGCTCGCTGGGCGCGGCGGCGGCGGGCGGGGCGGGGGCGCGGGCGGGGGCGCGGGCGGGGCGGGGGCGCGGGCGGCGGGGGCGCGGGCGCGGGGCTGCGGCTGCTGTCGGCCAACGTGCGGCAGCTGCACCGGGCGCTGACGGCGCTGCTGAGCGAGGCGGAGCGCGAGCAGTTCACGCACTGCCTGAACGCCTACCACGCGCGCCGCAACGTGTTCGACCTGGTGCGCACCCTGCGCGTGCTGCTGGACAGCCCCGGCAAGCGGCGCCTGCTGCCGCTGCTGCGCCTGGTCATCCCGCGCGCCGACCAGCTGCTCTTCGACCAGTACACGGCCGAGGGGCTCTACCTGCCCGCCGCCGCCTGCCGCCCGCCGGCCTGGGGCGGCCCCGACGGCGCGGGGCCCGGGGACGTGCGCCTGGTGAGCCTGCGGCGCGCGAGGGCCCACGAGGGCCTGGGCTTCAGCATCCGCGGGGGCGCGGAGCACGGCGTGGGCATCTACGTGTCGCTGGTGGAGCCGGGCTCCCTGGCCGAGAAGGAGGGGCTGCGGGTCGGGGACCAGATTCTGCGCGTCAACGACAGGTCCCTGGCCCGGGTGACCCACGCCGAGGCGGTCAAGGTAAGGCTGCGCTGGGGGGTCGGGGGGTCGGAGGGACGGAGGGATGGAGGGACGGAGGGAGGGAGGGAGGGACGGGAGCTCTCTGCCTGCGTGTGGCCGTAGGCGGTTCACCTGGTCTTCCTGGGCCACGTCTCTCTCTCTCTCTCTCTCTCTCTCTCTCTCTTTCTCTCTCTCTCTTTCTCTCTCTCTTTCTTTCTTTCTTTCTTTCATTGCTTGCTTAAGACAGCAACGTCTAGTTTTGTTTGGTTTTAGCAAATAGATGCCCGGCACTGCGGTGGGGACACGGTGATGGGGGGGGGGGGAACAGGCGTGGACCCGCTTCCGTGCGGGGTATAAGGGCTGGCAGTGTGGGGGGAGACGTAATCAAACACTCAGACACGTGTATTGTGAAAAGGCACAGGGATTCTCATGAGCGTTTAAAGAAAAAAAGGTAAGGTCCCCTTCTTGGCACATCTTAGTGATCAGCGGGTGTCTCTCCACTTGTGCTGTGTGCTCTTCCCATCCTTTGGTAGGGTTCATGCCCCTGAAAGAGAGAAAGTTTTGTTATAGCACCGCCCGGCCCGAGGAGGCCGCCCTGGTGATCCACAGTTAGATCCTAGAGCTCTAACCTGGCTCTGCTGTCTGCATGACCCAGGCTGTGTGTCCTGGGACCAGACACGTTTCCTCTCCAAGACCCCTGGGTCTTCCGCTTGGAAAATGGGGCAGCTGACTGGGCCCAGTGTCCCTAACCTTGTTGGAAAGGAGGCCCCTGCCCGAATGTCAGGAATAAATCTTCCACCCCCTTGAGAGTGGTTGCGCTTTTTGTGTCTGTTAATTGAGAAAAATAACCCCCTGACAGCGGTCTCCTAGGGATTTAATCAAGCTGTTTAAAGTAGATTGGAGTTTGCTAATCGCACGCCTAGGGCTGTTGGCAACCAGTTGGAGTAGGAGATGGGTAGAGCGTGGTGTACATGGGGACTCAAGGATCCCTTCCTTGGGGGTGTTTGCACACGCACACCTACACGCCACCTTGGCCTTCACCCACCTTTGTACAGGAAGTAAAGGATTTGGGGGGAAAAAAACAGTGACATACTCAGCTCGTGCAGGGAAAATGCTTCCCAGGGGCTTAGGGTGTCCTGTGACCCAGCTTCTCACCACCACGCCTTTTGTCCGTGCCTTGGGTCCTCCTCAGTGCAGGTGGTCAGGACACCGGCTGAGGGCCCGCTGGCTGCTGGGAAGTGGCCAGGCCGCAGAGGTCCGGGGCTACTTCCTGGGCCCCGTTCGGTGACCTGTGGTCAGACAGAGGTTCTTGTGCATTTCCATGCGTCTGTCCTCCTCTCTCTCCTCCCCCCCCCCCCCGTATCAGTCTTTTCCCCTTATCTGACATTCCATATGTTTATAAAGAAATAGTCTGTTAGCCTTTGGCCCTAAAAGGTCTAGAGTTCCCAGATGATAAATTTATACTCGAGAGATAACTTGGTCCAGATGGTCAGTTATAAACGTGGATTCAATTTTAGTGGCAATCTTCTTTAGTGGCAAACTAACTCGTCACAAGGTGCCAGACGTTGGAAAGGCCTCAGGTAACCCGGACGTTAATAACACCGGCTCACCTGTCAGTTTGCATCCCAGTGTCAGACACACCAAGGGGCCGGAGCTGCCGGGGCCGGGAGCTTCAGCTCGGCCCTCCAGGGTGGGTGTCGCCCTGCATGGCGTGTCTGAGCCTCCCTGAAGGAGGGAGGCTCACCTTGCTCCCCCTAACTCTGTGACTCAGGGCGGGCCTTAGCTGGTCTAGTAAAACCCAAACTCTCCATGGTATGGTTTTTGAGCACCCAGAGGAGCAGAACTGCCTTTGGATGGGTGCAGGAGCCCTGGGAGCTGAGCAGTACCCACCGTGTCCCCGACTGTCACTTTCCGTACGGAGGGGCCGGCCAGGGCAGGAGGAGCTCCTGCCTCGGGGTGCCCTTCTTCCTGCCAGCGCCAGACACAGCCTGCCCGGAACGCACCCCTTTGCAACCTACAGAAGCAACAGGCAACATGAATACTGCTTTGTGTCACCTTAACTGCAGGGGGACAGGAGAACAGACTTTCCGTGGGTGGAATTTAAAACGGAGGAGGCGGGACCTCATCTCTGTGGCCTCTGCGAGCACCTCCGGGTTGCAGGATGGGCAGGCAGTTTCAGGACAGCCTAGAACACCCGGCGCGGTTGACACATCTCCACAAAAGTGAGGGCATTAAGTCCCTTAACCGAGAGCCACAAGAGGCCCCGGCCTCTCTGCTGGTTACAAACGGCCCTTAACCCGGATTTCTCCACTTCCAGGCCCTCTTTATTGGCTACACTGCTGTCGGGCACCGTGTCAGGGATTTTCTGATAAAGTTACATTCCTCTCAACCAAACATCAGACTTGATTCGAGTATCACCGCTTTTTCTGTCCTTTCTGCTCCATGTGCCACATTGCATTTAGCACAAGACACGTTTTCGTTCTTCTTCGGTGTGCTTTTATTTGTTAATTTACTCGTCTGTTTATTTTCTGCCCCAGCCTTATGGAAGTAGAAGTGGCAAATAAAAATTGTGTATAGTTAAGGCGTACAGTGTAGTGATTTGCGACACCTGTCCCTTATACAAGGGTTACCCCAGTCAAGCTAAATTACTCATCACCTCACACAGTTATTTTATTTCTGTGGTTAAGAACACTTGGGATGTACTCGCTTAGCTAGTTTCAAGCATACAATACAGAATTATTAATTATAGTCGCCGGGCTGTGCATTAGATCCTCCCCAGCACTTACTCATTTTCTAACTGAGAGTCTACTCTTTGACCAACATTTTCCTGTTTCCTCCACCCCTGGCCTCTGGGAACCACTGCTCTGCTCTTTGCTTCTGTGGGTTACGCTTTTTTTGGATTCCACATGTAAGTGAGATCGTCCTGCATTTGTTTTTATGTGTCTGGTTTATTTCACTTAGTGTAATGTCCAGGTTCATCCATGTTGTCACAAAGGGCAGAATTTGTATTTTTTTTGTGGCCAAATAATATTCCACTGCGTGTGCGTGTGTGTGTTGTGTGTTGTGTGTTGTGTGTACCTTCTTTCTTCATCTGTCAGTCTACACTTCGGTTGTTTCTGTTTTGGTTCTTGGCATGTGTTTTCAATCCCAAAACCTTATTCTTCTGCAGATACAAGGAGCTTTCCCGAAGGAAAGCTTTTGTGTGTGTGTGTGTGTGTGTGTAATAAAAAGAAAATTAAATTTTAGGAATCAGTGAATTTGTGAATCAGAGAGGGTCACCTCCTCCCAGGGAACAGAGGAGCTTGAACATACAAAGTTTTTCCACTTCTCTCTCTCACAAATCAGGTATCCGTTGTTGCCCAGAGCGGTTCAGGGAGGATTCTGATCCTCTCTCCAGGGGGCTCCCATCCCTCTCTTGAAGGCTATTTGCTAAATCAACAGTTGACAGGTCCAGATAAGGCAAGCCATTTACTATTTGCAATTATGTTGAAATGTTTGATTTTTGAAAAATCTATCTTGAATGAACAAGAGCCAATCTAATAATAATAATAATAATAATAATAATAATAATAATAAAAGTAGACCTCTCAAAGCTTTTCAGCCAAAAAGGCTTGGTAAGTTAGCCAAGGAGCCCACAGACCAGGGATGCTGCACTGGGCCTCTGCCACACGCTTGCTGTGTAACCTTGGGCCAGTCACCGACCCTCTCCGTGCACAAGGCTGGATGGGCCAGTGGCTGCCCAGGGTCCCTTCTGGGCTCTGAGAAATCTGTGGTTTGCTCAGTATGTGCTATGCAGAAGGCATCTAGAATATTTAATCTGGTGTTTTCTTGTTCTTTTGGAACCGATTTCCTTTAAGGCAGAGTTAGGAACGCTGGCTAAGGACTGGGCGATGAGGATCTTGGCGCGGTTGTGTAGCCTCCTACTAAATCAGGAGATTGACGGGTTGCACCCTGTATGATGAGAGCGTGACTGCCCTCCCTGGGCCCGAGAACACCAACCCTAGAGCCTTTCCGGAGTCCGCGAGAAGACGAGCATAGGATCGAGGCGGGCCTGGCGCTGCCCCGGGAGCCCTCAAAATCCCATTCACTTACCCGCTGGCCCCCCGAATCCCTAATTCTGCGGGTAGCGGGATGCGGGGTAGCGGGGTGCTGCTGGGATGTGTGTGTGGATGTGTGTGCTTCATCTCGATGAAAATGAAATGGCTTCATTACAGTCTCGGCACCCCCCCCCCCGGGGGCATCCGAGGGGCATGTTATTAGACTTTGGAACGTTCCAGAAGTTAAAAACAGCGGCCCTTTCATTTAATCAGAGTTATCACACCCTCCCTCCCTCTGCATGATGACCCGCAAAGAACCTGTCCGTATTAATATAAGTCATTGCATTTAGCCCGGCACATTCTAAATGACACATTTGTCATTTTCCTGTTGTACATGGTTAGCTGAAGCCATTATAGATTATTACCACTTGCAACTTTGTATCTGAAATGCAGCTTCTCCCACTGGTGTTATTACCGTATTCCAATTTGGAAGCCACGGGTAATGTGTTCACGGGTACGCAGAGACTTTCCTCTGGCCCTGTCCTCTTTCCTGGGTCCTGGGGGCCTTGCCAGCAGTGACATGCTGAAAGCTCACTATTAATAAACTCTTCGCTGAATAGATGTTTGCTTGCTGGATCCAGGGCGTGATGCAGTACATTGAGAGGGTCCATTTCTTTAATTTAATCTTATTTATTTATGTGGCCCAAGCTGATACTCTGGGTTTTAGACAATTACAGTGCCCGGGTAGGACACAATCCTTTTTCAACTGGTTATTTCCTCTTCAAATAAAAAGCAGCATTTTGTCGGCTGGAAGAGAATGCCCTTAGTTTTGTTCTTTTTTTTAGGAATTGATATTATTATCGTAGAAGATTCCTGCCTCTTGACTTTAAGCTGGACACAAAAGAGATAGAGAATTACCCCAGTGTTAGCTGCTTGTTTTTCTGTCACTTTTCTCTTGCCGCAAACCTGGCGTTGTTTATTACC